GCGTCGGCTGCGCACACGTCCGCGCCAGCACCGACCAGCATGCGCACCGCGCCAACGCGGCCCTGCTCCGCCGCGCACATGAGCGCTGTCGTGCCATTCTAACATACACATACACTTTGGTTAATTCACTAAAATAACATTTACCTACTTCTTAAAAGGATCTTTGCATTGCATTGTACAAAGTATTACTCGCCCGCAGAAGCTTTGCCGATGGCATTATTGCGTTACACGTTAACTGACGGTAAAAAGCAGGCAAGCGCGAGACGCAGTCTTAGGAAGTAGTAGAGGGAGTCATAGGCAAACTTTTGCGCGGGGCTAATAAGATGCAAAATATTTATTGTGTATAACCACTTTTTAAAAGATAGGAGAAGTTTCTACCTTTCACGAGATTGAAAAAGTTCTCATTGCACAAATGAAAAAGTAGATATTTTGACATAATCAGAGCCTCAGTTTTATTCACAACTATGTAATGGAACATGCGGATATGATTATTGTCAAAATGACGCAGTGAGATCTGATTCTGTACCAAAAACGTATTCTGCGCAGCGACATCCAGTTCATTAATTAAATGGCACGCCTGTATAATATTAGATAATAATTAATATTAATATATTGATACGGATGCCAAAATAAGATCCGTCTATGCCATTAAAACAATATATCAGGTTAATAGGTTTATATTAAATGTCGCATACTTCTATTTTAGTTTACCTAATAAAATTACGTTTATTATATTCGTCATTCAGAAATAACATTAACTTTGACTTCCGTTATTTAAAATCTATATTATTAGTAAATAGTTTAAAATTAAGGGGTTTTAACTGGATTTTATTCTCGATAACATACCGATTGAATTTTTTATTTACATAACATTTTTGCTTTTAGATATGTATGCTAGTAAAAAATTGACAAACCGGAAAAAGACAATTATCTATAACAGGATAAAACTATATCTTTAATTTATTACTATTGTCAACTCTTTGGTGTTTATGCTAAAAGCTAAACATATGCGTAGATGTTATTAAAATCAATTACTCATTTATTACAAAGAATAAGGTCAAAATTTTTCCTACATTAATTCGCATAAGCCTTAGATTAGATAATAAATATGACGCCATTTTATGTTTTTAATGATGTATTTATTAGAAAGACCGTAAATATTTCAAATTCAAACTAAAACTCTACAGTTATTGCCAATTTTTTTTTAAGGAAGTAATATTACTTGATAATACAAAAGCTTTCACAGAATATGGAAAACTATGAAAATGTGTTTTCGAATGGAAGTTAGTTCCTAAAACATCTAATTTTTGTACAGAAAAAAATGGCTAATACGTCATTTTCGTACTTAATCGTGTCTATCTTTAGGATATTTTAAAAACTATATGACATTGCAAATTTTATTTCAAGGCAACCATATTAAAAAGATTCAAATTTTTTTTTATTTTTTGTGTTAATAATTTTACTTAGCCAATTAGAGTTACCATGAATAATGAGTGCTGAGATTGTTTACTTGCTTACAGATAACAATTTATGATTATTATTCTTAACGTAACACCAAGCACTTTTTATTACTTTTATGACGTACTGTTCTTTTATGGCAACTACGTTAATAACATGATTCCAGGTAAGGTAGTCTTTGTTGTGTCAAAAAAGTACACGAAATTAGCTTTGATAACTTTTGTAGTACTAGCTTGTCAATTTGCACAACATTGACCAACAGTGTTAAATAAATTACTTACCTCGTCTTTATCGTCGATGTTGAGGTTCTTGTTGTTGGCGAGGTACTGCTGCAGCTCGGTGACGTCATCGTTGTTGACGAGTTGCGAGAGCGTCTTGAAGCACGCCAGCGAGACCATCGACTCGCTGCGATGGAGGCTCTGTCACCAATACAACAAACAACACTAATGTTAGCCTTATCAATACACAACATAACGAAATTTACTTATTTTTGCAATGTTTTCTAGACACGCGATATAGCTACAAGTATTTTTTTAAGTATAAGGTGTCAAATTAATACGTATATTCAAATTCATCTTCGATTGATCAAGGAAGCGAAAATTTTAAGAGCTTAATGTCCAATAAATCACATAATAAAAAATTAAACACGCATCATGCAAATTTTAATGCTTTAGTCGTCACTTTAAGATGGAGGAAAAGAAAAGAATATGTTAAACACCTCGCTCGACTGCAGAGTCCAGCGCTTCATTGTTTTGTTATTACTGTTTTGTTAAAAAATTATCGATAAGAAGGAAATGAGTAGCTCAACTAACACACGCAAACGTTTGGTCGCACGCACAACAGCGATCATAATGAGCATTATTTTGTAGATATAATGATAACGATATCACAAGGTAGCTAAATTCGTTACGCGAAAATTGTCTCAACGCGCGAAAGATGTTTTTAAACGAACATTTTTATTATAGTTAAACTATATCCATAAAACACATTTATTGCTTTTATTCTAAAATCGTTATTTTAATTGAAACGTTATCTCCTCTGAATATGTTTTACTGTGCAGATATGTACTTGGAGAAGCAGTTGTCGAGTGATTCTTTCCGTGCAAATGTGCACCTTGGGTATTTAGTCGACATGCAGTTGTATAGTATCCTTACAACATTCATATGTTAGTAACAAACTGCAAACAATCCAATTAAATGAAAATCACAAAATAGGTTATTATTACAAGCCTTGTCACATTCGAGAACTATATTATCGCAGACCGTATTGGAGTGTCGGCGAAGAGCGAAGCCATGGAAGGCGAAGCCGTGGCTGAAGC